GCATTTACTCAATTCAGTATTATATTTCACCGCTGAGCAGAAATACTTCTCCCAAATCAGAAAAGCCCTGAATCTTCTTCTTTTATGTACACTATATTGGGTTTAATGTATATGTACAATACTAACATGAATTTCTATTTCTATTTTTTGTACTCACTTTTCCAGGCTATGCTTATCTTTAGAGTCAGGTGACAAAAGAATAGGGTCTAACTTTCAGATCATCTAAGTATCCTCAGTCTTATCCATCCAAAGTTCTTGTATAGGCAAAGGGAGTGGGGAGGGCATTCAAAGAAAGGAAACAGAGTCATCAAAGGCATGCAACATGTTGTGTGGGGGATGACTAAGAAACACACACATGGTCTTTGGTGTTTGCAGTATAGGTGGCAAAGGTCAGGTTGGCTAGAGAATGTCTAATAAGTTATAAATGTTTCCTCCTCCTCTATTTTCTGAAAGAATTTGTGTAAGATTGGTCTTAGTTTACCAGTAAAATCATCTGGGCCTACAGCTTGCTTTAGGGAAGATTCTTGATACCAAATTCAATTTCTTTAACAGATATAGGACAACTCTGATTTTCTGTTTCATCTTGTGTCAGTTTTAGTAAGTTGTGTCAGATAAGAAAGGTCGTCAATGCTAGACTGGATCTTATTTTCCTGAAATGAACTATACTTTGGAGCCATTAAATGTGTTTATGGGCCAGACATGGTGGCTTATGCCTATAACCCCAGCACTTTGAGAGGCTGAGGTGGGCAAATCAGGAGGTCAGGAGTTTGAGACCAGCCTGGCCAACAAGGTGAAACCCCATCTCTACTAAAAATACAAAAATTAGCCAGATGTGGTGGAGGGCATCTGTAGTCCCAGCTTCTCTGGAGGCTGAGGCAGGAGAATCACTTGAACCTGGGAGGCAGAGGTTGTAGTGAGCTGAGATCACACCACTGCACTCCAGCCTGGGTGATAGAGCGAGACTCCATAAAAGAGAAGAGAAGAGAAGAGGAGAGGAAAGAAACGTGTTTATGAAGAATGTTCAATAAGGATTCTGGGCTGGGCAAGGTGGTTCATACCTGTGATCCAGCTTTGGAGGATCGAGGCAGGAGGATTACTTGAGCCCAGGAGCTTAAGGCTGCAGTGAACTAGGACCATATCACTACACTTGCACTCCAGCCTGTGCAACAGAGTGAAACACTGTCTCTAAGAAAAAAAAAAAAAGAGAGAGAGAGAGAGAGAAGGATTTGGGAAAGAGGTCAGGAAAAAGGAAAAACAAGAGAGACAGAAGTGAGAGAACCAAGATAGTAGACTTTTATAGAAATGTGAGGAATAAGTAACAAGAGTGCAATAATTTAAAAAAGAACCAAATTTAAGAACTACAACCAGTTCTTTATCTCCTTTTGCCACTAATTCAGGCATTCATAAATGAAATATTGTACTGCTTCTCAGCATCTACTCTGCCCAAGGTGGAAAGCATTCCTTGTACCAGAGCCCAGTGGTAGAAAGGGATAACATTTCTGTTGTGAGTTAGACTTCCAGCCTTTAAGACCTATGCCTTAGAAACTGGTGCCACCTGTCTATCATTTTGGTTTTAAGTTTAATTTTACAACTAGCTTTTCCAATACACTGTTGATATATATATATATATATATATATATATATATATGACTATATATATATATATATATATGACTATATATATATATACATATGACTATATATATATATGACAATATATATATATACATATGACAATATATATATATATGACTATATATATATATATATATATATATGACAGATGTGGTTTCACAGGGCATCTAGAGGTTGCTTAAAATGGGTAAGTAAATACTGTGGTGTAGTTGTTTTCCTAATCTGGCAACTGAAAAGGTAACTATGATAGAAGAGACATGGGATTTAAAGTCAAAAGACCTGAGTTTTAACACTTGGCTGAATCACCTTTTTCAGCTGTGTGGCCTGAGGCAAAACAATCCCTCTGAGACACAGCATTCTCATGTATAAACTGAGCATAATACTAGTTGTGTGTATTTCACATTGTCATTCTGAGAACCAAATTAGAAAAACTTTCCATTAAAAAAAAAAAAAAAATAGCTGAGGCTGGGCAGGGTGGCTCACGCCTGTAATTCCAGCACTTTAGGAGGCTGAGGCAGGTGGATCATGAGGTCAGAAGTTTGAGACCAGCCTGACCAACATGGTGAAACCCCATCTCTACTAAAAATACAAAAATTATCTGGACCTAGTGGTGCGTGTCTGTAATCCTAGCTACTCACGAGGCTGAGGCAGAAGAATCAGTTGATACGGGTAGGTGGAGGTTGCAGTGAGCCAAGATTGCACCACTGCACCCACTAGCCTGGGCGACAGAGCGAGTCTCCATCTCAAAATAATAATAATAATAATAATAATAATAATAATAATAAACCAGATAGCTGGAGATGGTGAGTCAAGCCTGTAATCCCAGCACTTTGGGAGGCCGAGGTGGGCAGGTCACCTGAGGTCGGGAGTTCAAGACCAGCCTGAGCAACATGGAGAAACCCTGTCTCTACTAAAAATATGAAAAATTAGCCTTGCGTGGTGGTGCCTGCCTATAATGCCAGCTACTCTGGAGGCTGAGGCAGGAGAATCGGTTGAATCCAGGAGGCGGAGGTTTCAGTGAGCTGAGATTGCACCATTGCACTCCAGCCTGGGCAACAAGAGTGAACCTCCGGTCCCACCCCCCTGCAAAAAAAAATCCAATGTCTAATTTTTCTTGTGATTGTTTTTTTCGTTGAAGTAATTAACAGAAATGAGACGCTTTCATGTGAAAATCACAATGAATTTTTTTTTTCTTTTCTCCTGGATAGACTCTATTCCTCAACATTACTGTGGTAGTACTACTTGGCTTTCAAAAAAAATAAAATAAAATTGGCTGGGCACAGTGACTTACTCCTGTAATCCCAGCACTTTGGGAGGCTAAAGCAGGTGGATCGCCTGAGCTCATGGGTTTGAGACCACCCTAGGCAACACGGTGAAACCCCATCTCTACTAAAATACAAAAAATTAGCTGGGTATGGTGGCCTGTGCCTATAGTCCCAGCTACTCTGGGGGTTGATTCATGAGAATAGCTTAAGTCCTGGAGGTAGAGGTTGTAGTGAGCCAAGACTGCACCACTACACTTCAGCTTGGGCAACAGAATGAGACTCCATCTCAACAAAAAGAGAAAAAGAAAATTTATTTTTTTTTTTTTTAATTTTTTTTTTTGAGACGGAGTTTCACTCTTGTTACCCAGGCTGGAGTGCAATGGCGCAATCTCGGCTCACCGCAACCTCCGCCTCCTGGGTTCAGGCAATTCTCCTGCCTCAGCCTCCCGAGTAGCTGGGACTACAGGCACACGCCACCATGCCCAGCTAATTTTTTGTAATTTTAGTAGAGACAGGGTTTCACCATGTTGGCCAGGCTGGTCTTGACCTCCTGACCTCAGGTGGTCTGCCCACCTTGGCCTCCCAAAGTGCTGGGATTACCAGCGTAAGCCACTGCATCCAGCCAAAATTTACTTTTTGATATGAAATTTTCAACTAAGACTTATGGTACTTTATATTTTTGATGACTGAGTAGCTTTCAAAGGGGAAATTATTATGCATTTAGTGATGGTACTAGAATTAGATTCAGATTAACAAATTATAAATCTTAACCTAGGATCTGAGAGCTCTTAAACCAGTTAGGAATTTTGTTTTCTCAGATATGTGCATGGCTTCTTGGCTTCCTCACCCTCTTCAAGTCTTTACTACAGTGTCACCTTCTCAGTGAGATCTTCCCTGCCCATTCAATTTAAAATTTAAACCCTCCCCCAACACTCATTTCCATTCTCTGCTTATTTCTCCTCCACAGCACTTATCATTTAACATATATCATTATTTTGTTTATATATATATCTCTCTCTCTCATCACCCCTTCACCACCTCTCCCATAATGTAACCTCCATGAATTTTGTTCATAGTTTTATCTCTAGCATATAGGACAATACTTGAAACATAATAGGCACTCAATATTTGCTGAACAAATATAAAGAACACTCATGAGTTTTCTCTTTGAATATAATAGCATAAGAATATTGAAAATCCGTGATACAGTATTTTAGCAAAACAGTGATGGGACTTTGCAACCCAGATGATTCATCTAACAACACTCAGAGCAGACCAGCATGTCCACACGTAAACTGAAAGGGTCCTATTTGCTCAGCTCTCAGAATAATGGAAACTTTTTTAGTCACTGTTCATTTTACTTAGAATTGTAAACTATAGGAAGAAGCAGAGTGGTGTCCAGGGGATCATCCTGTAAGAGAATGCTCTACCAAATCTCGGGCTCTGGGCAGTCTGCCTAACAAGTAAGGTTGGGGGTCATTAAGATAATCCTCTCCTCTCACTTCCATAGGATTCCCTTTAAAAACACAAGTACCCCAGGAGGGGAATCACAGCTTAATCCTTCATCATTTAACACTTGAGCTGGATTTAGAAATATGAGGTGAGGAGTAGACAGGAAGATTCATTTTACTAATTTTGTAATGCCTGGGGCTGAATTTGACCAGCTTTTTCCCACATCAAAGTCTCCTTCCCCCTAAATATTAATCCACAAACAAATGCTATAGACTGCAACTGATTGAGAATAGGAAACTGTTTTTAATCAGCTACAATTCTATCAACCTGTTCTACTCTGCAATTGTAATTACCAAGCCATCACAGACCTAGAGGAGATTCTGCTTCCAAACATAGCAAACCCATGCCACAGAGAGTAAACCAGATTATCTGCCTTTCAATTTGTGCCCTAAATTGTAGATTTGGTTGTAGAGTGCCTATCCATGAGGTCACATGTAATATAAATAAGTATATACTTTTATGTAGTCTACACCCAAATGTTTCTACTCAAGTTGAGTGTCTTCTATGGCAAGTGCTATGAGCAGTGATTCCCCAACTCCTATCAGGATATTAGTTAGGTACCTGAGTGCATGCAAAAAATACAGATTCTTACTCTGGTTTCTCTTCAGATCATACAAATCTTTTGCCTTTAAGATTTCCGTGAAGAGGAACAGTTATGAGTCTTTTTCCAATTTTGTGAGGCCTCGTTTTTCAAGAGGCTAAAAAAAAAAAAAATACAGATTCCTTAACCCATCTTAGTTCTAACAAAACAAAATCTCTGGGAGGATACAACCTCATCATCTATTTTTTAAACAAGCACCCAGTGATTATCATGAATGGCCAGCAAGGAACCCCTGTGAGGGATACCCAAGAAACACCTGACTCTAGGTACTTTATATGTTTCATTTGGAAAGTTAGACCTGAGATATGAAATAACTAAACATGATTTTCACCAGAGTGGTCAACAATTTGATATATTACATAATGCTATTGATGTGAAGACAGGAAGGGAGAAATTAGTGGTGGGGAAGACTGAGTAGAGGAAATAAAACCCTGGTGGGCCTCAAGGTTCAGATAGGATTTGAATAAAGGAGAGAAAAGCACGTGGAGGAAAATCAGAGGGAAATGAACAAAGGTTCAGAGGCAGTAACATAGGGGCATGTTCTTAGAACACTGTGTTTGGCCAAATTAGAATATACACTTTAATGAAGAGTTAGAAATAGTGACTGATAAGTAGGTTTGGAACAGAATATACAAGGTCTTGGAAGTGAGGCAAAAATCTTTAACGTGACTGAGATGGGAAAATGGGAAGTAAAATCAAAAAACCAACTGAGTAAATTACATTCTGAGTGGCAGAAAGGGCATGGGTTTTGGTACACACTTGAGTTAAGCCAGCTAGGCTTACACCTGTAATCCCAGCACTTTGGGAGGCTGAAGCAGGCAGATCACCTGAGGTTAGGAGTTTGAGACCAATCTGGCCAACATAGTGAAGCTCCATCTCTACCAAAAATACAAAAATTACCTGGGCATAGTGGTACACGCCTATAGTCCCAGCTGCCTGGGAAGCCGAGGTAGGAGAATCGCTTAAACCCTGGAGGTGGAGGTTGCAGTGAGCTGAGATTGTGCCACTGCACTCCAGCCTGGGCAACAGAGCAAGACCCTGTCTCTAAAAAAAAAAAAAGTTAAGCCTACCCCTTTTTCCTCTTAACTGAGGTACTCTCCAGTAAGGGAAAACTTATCAGAGGGACCTGTCATAGAATACCTGTTGTCTGTCTTCTGGGCCAAGTCTCAAGTACAAACCTCTTCAATCTCTGATACAAATTCCCTTTGCCTCTTCCTATTGAAATCAGTGGAAAAGTTTCCAGGGAAGCTGAAAGCTGCTTCACAACTTAGAGCAATACTTACTTCAAATGTTAGAAACCCATCTGGGTCTGCTTGTAACCTTAAAGTAGTTTTCTAAATCTTAAACATATATTGGCCTGGAAATTCCCCATAGCTCACAAAGCATTTACCTACACTGAATATGAAGGTTTTGCTTCCAATTCTCTTGATATAATAACTTGTGGGGCTGGGCACAGTACCTCGCCCTATAATCCCAGCACTTTGGGAGACAAAGATGATTGGATCACTTGAGGCTGCGTTTTTGAGACCAGCTTGGGCAATAGAGCAAGATCCTGTACCTCCCCACCCCTACCCCCAAACAAAGGGTGGGCACCGTGGCTCACGCCTGTAATCTCAGCACTTTGGGAGGCCAAGGCAGGAGGATCACTTGAGGCCACGAGTTCAATACCAGCCTAGACAACATAAGGAGACTCCCCCATCTGTACAAATAATTTAAAAATTAGCCCGGCATTGTGGTGTGCACCTGTGGTTCCAGCTACTCAAGGAGCTGAGGTGGGAGGATTGTCTGAGCCTGGGGGATTGAAGCTGCAGTGAGTTGTGACTCTAGCCTGGGAAACATAGACCCTGTCTCTAACCAAAAAAAAAAAAAAAAAGAAAGAAAGAAAGAAAAAGAAGGCCAGCCATGGTGGCTTATGCCTGTAATCCCAGTACTTTGGGAGGCTGAGGCGGGTGGATCACCTGAGGTCAGGAGTTCGAGATCAGGCTGGCCAACATGGTGAAACCCCATCTCTACTAAAAATACAAAAATTAGCCGGATGTGGTGGCAGGTGCCTGTAATCTCAGCCACTTGGGAGGCTGAGGCAGGAGAATCTCTTGAACCCAGGAGGTGGAGTTGCCATGAGCTGAGATCACGTCATTTCCCGCCTGGGCGACAGAAAAGACTCTATCTTAAAAAAATAAAATAAAATAAGAAGAAATTGTGAACTATGATCCTACAGAAAAACGTTTTGAAGATAGATGGGCACAGGAGGTATGGTATGTACCTAAGTAGTTAGGCTTTTTCCCTTTTTCTTCTGTTTCTTTGGTCACTCAACAAAAAGTTTCAGAAGTCAATGCTGAAGCCAGAAAGCCAAGCTTCTGGGTGATTGAGGATTTTCTGGTTTCAAATTAAACAGAAAACTAAATTAGCAAATTAATTGTTGAATGTATTTTCCTGGGCCCTTCATCAGCTGCTGCAGGACGAGTAACCAATGAAAGATGACTTCTGGCTGCCCTGGAGAGGGGGCAGGGTTCAGAATCAGGTTCTGCTAGCTACCAAGTGTCAGACATGTTAATTTCAAATTACTTTTGTATGGCTTGGTGTCAAAATGATTAAAGCATGAAGAAAAAAACAGAGCCAAAGGAGAAAGAAGGGAAATCGTTTACCTTGCATTTGGAGCAAGAACACTAGCAATTTCATTTCAGCTGGCTTTATCCCACAAGTTATAGAAATTCTAAGCTTTAGTTAGGCTCTTTGATGATCTCCTAAGATACAAGGGTTGTGTGGTGGTCATGGCACTCCGTTTCCTTTGTGCAATGTCACTATCTCTAAATGGCGGAGTATATATGTACGTATGTGTGTGTATATATATATATATATAAATAATAAACACTAATATGGTCACATTTTCTTCCCCTTTCCCCCCAATAAAACTTTATTCTGATAACACTGGACTCTATATGTCAGGAACTGTACTAAGTATACCTTACATTTAAAACATCAAATAATCCTTGTTTTATGCTATGCATTATTATTATTCCCATTTACAGGTGACAAAGCTGAGGCTTGGAGAGGTAAATCACTTGCTCTAGTCACTTAGCAGAGGCAGAGGTGGGATTCTAGTCTCAGATTTCTCTGGCTACAAAGCCTTACTGCTTCCTCTCAATTTTCCCTTTTAGATGTGAGGAACCAAGAATTTGAGTAAGTCTGATTGTTAAGACAACTTCACTGTTTTTTTTTTTTTTGAGACGGAGTTTCGCTCTTGTTACCCAGGCTGGAGTGCAATGGCGCGATCTCGGCTCACCGCAACCTCCGCCTCCTGGGTTCAGGCAATTCTCCTGCCTCAGCCTCCCGAGTAGCTGGGATTACAGGCACGCGCCACCATGCCCAGCTAATTTTTTGTATTTTTGGTAGAGACAGGGTTTCACCATGTTGACCAGGACGGTCTTGATCTCTTGACCTCGTGATCCACCCGCCTCGGCCTCCCAAAGTGCTGGGATTACAGGCTTGAGCCACCGCGCCCGGCCTTCACTGTTTCTTTTAACAGCCATGGGTGTCTTCTTTTTGTCTAAAGATGCTGCTGAGGTCAGCCTTATTTTCCATAAAATAGTAGTTTTTACAGAACCAGTTTCCCAGGGTGAACAGGTAAGCTCACTGGTTGGCTTGTCTTTGTCTCCCAGTACCCAGCTTTTCCAGTTGTTTTCATGGGGTTCATGACACTTTTTACTGAAGATGAGTCATCTCGTCTGATTTTTGTATGTGAAGTATAAGGCTGAGCGCAGTTGCTACTGCTTTTCAAACATCAACGCAAAGCTGCACTGCTTGAGTTCTCTCAGTCTGCCAGATTTGATTATTTTCCTCACCCTTCCTAAAGCCACTCACTTCTCATTATCTTATTGCTTTTTTATTTTTGATAGAGAGAGAGAGAGAGACTCACTCTGTTGCCCAGGCTGGAGTGTGGTGGCACAATCTTGGCTCACTGCAACCACCACCCCCTGGGTTCAAGAAATTCTTGGCCACTTCACATTACCTTTCTTTTTTTTTTGAGACACAGTCTCACTCTGTCCCCTAAGCTGGAGTGCAGTGGCACAATCTCAGCTCACTGCAACCCTGGTTGAAGTGATTCTCCTGCCTCAGCCTCTGGAGTAGCTGAGACTACAGGAGTGTGGTACCATGCCTGGCTAATTTTTTTATTTTTAGTAGAGACAGAGTTTCACTATGTTGTCTAGGCTAGTCTCCAACTCCTGACCTCACGATTTGTCTGCCTTGGCCTCCCAAAGTGCTTGGATTACAGGCATGAACCACTGTGCCTGGCCGCAATTCAATTTTTAAGATTCTAGTAATGCAGAAGTCACAATATTGCTCCCTGGACACTACTAAGTAAGTTTTAGGCACAAGAATATCCCAAGGATGCTGAGTGATACCAAAGCCACCATTCAGAATAATATTGATAATGTCAGCGAAGTGATTTATAAACACAAGATAAAATAACTGCCCACTGATACATTTTTATATATATATATATAATTTTTTTTTTTTTTTTTTTTTTTTTTTTTTTGAGACAGAGACTTGTTCTGTTGCCAGGCTGGAGTGCAGTGGTATGATCTTGGCTCACTGCAACCTCCTCCTCCTGGGTTCAGGCGATTCTCCTGCCTCAGCCTCCAAGCAGCTGGGACTACAGATGGGTACCATCATGCCCAGCTAATCTTTGTATTTTTAGTAGAGATGAGGTTTCACCATGTTAGCCAGGATGGTCTCAATCTCTTGACCTCATGATCAAGGCCCCTCGTGGGGCCTCAGCCCCCAAAGTGCTAGGATTAAAGGTGTGAGCCACGTCAGGCTAAATTTAGAAATATTGAACCTTAGAACTTCAAGAATGTTATCAGCTGACTTTTGGAGAGTGCTGGGTGCTTTTCAACAACCTAATGAGGTAGGTTACATTATTTTCCCTCTCTTTCCAGTGTCCAGGTGAACCACAGAATAAGGATGAAAGGGCCAGGCATGGTGGCACCCTGCCTGCAATCCCAGCACTATGAGAGGCTAAGGTAGGTGGATCACGAGGTCAGGAGTTCAAGACCAGCCTGGCCAAGATGGTGAAATCTCATCTCTACTAAAAATAC